AGGCAGGCAGGCAGGCAGGCAGGCAGGCAGGCAGGCAGGCAGGCAGGCAGGCAGGCAGGGCTTCGTCGACTTGGCTAAGGAGTTCTCCTCCAGGACCGTTGCAGCGTCACTCCGCACTGCTTCCTGCAGAATGCAAAGACCTGGGGGGGCCCATCTGCTCGCCAGGTCCTGCTCCTCATCTTGCTGGTCTGTCTGAAGGCGGCCTGGGCAGCTGCGCCCCCAGCCTGCCTCTGGATTGCGGCGCTGGGCTCTGGCCACCTTGTGAAGCAGCCATTGTTAATGCCGAGGCCATTAAAAGTCGGGGCTGTTATTTGACTAAACAAACCTTGTGCGAAAGGCGCCGTGCATTAGAAATGCAGGGCGGCATCCAGGAAAGGAACGTTTTGCACGCAGGCCCTGTGTGTGTGTGTAATTCTCACATTTACAGCTTGGGAGGTTACCCGCTGGAGCCCTTGCTCGCCGGTTGGGCTGCCTTCCACGGGCAGAGTGCGGAGCGCGGGGCTCCCTTTGCCTTCCCGAATTCATCCCCTCGCCCGCCTCGACATGAGCCGGATGTCAGCAGAAGTCCCATCGTCCCATCTGACCTTTACCTTGGCGCGTGCTCCCTGCTGCTGGAGCCGGGGGGGGGCGGGAGGGGGCTGGGGCACGGCTGCGCACGTGTACGTTAATAAAAAGTAAGCAAACACTCTTTTTCCGCCTGGCCCCTGGGAGGGGGAGCGGGCAGGGCAGGCTGTCAGCCCAGAAGCTCTCCTTGGCAGGCAGGAGCGACACCAGCCCTCCTGGCTGGTCCGAGATGCTACTACTTGGACGTGCCACCCGTCCCTGCTAGCAAGGCCCCCCTGGCAGTTTACGTTGGCAAAGGAGGAGGCGGGCGGTCCAAGGCTCCCTGTGCCAAGAGGCAGGGCTGCACAATCGGGAGCCCAGATGCTGCCTGGGCACTCACAGGGATGAAGTCTCGGACTGTGTGCAGCTGGTCATCCCTGGATCCCTTCTTGCTTCCCAGACATCTGGACGCCATAAGCAGCTGTTTGCTTGCCCTGGTCGGTTCAGGGAAGGTATGCAAGGGGAAGACATCTGCCCCGATGACCAGGGGAATAGCCTTGTCTAGCCAGCTTTTCTAGAGCTTTGTCAGGTGTTTGGCCACAGCAACCCTGCCAGCCGGCCCCTCTGGTTCCCCTTTCGTCAGTAAGGCCGAAAGAGGCAGATCAGTTCAGTGCCATGAATGCCGGGGACCAATGTTGACACCCAGCTCAGGGACAGAAATGAAGTCTGCCCTGGTTAGAGCATCACCCTCTGAATTGTCAAACTGATGCTGTAATAATCCTGGTTTACACATAAGGCATAAACCATGTTGTGTAGGCCACAGTGGCTGGATCTGTGGGACCACTAAACCCAGACCACGAGGCTGTGTTCTGCAGAGGCTGAAAACCCCATGGCCAAGCGAAGAATTGTGAGAATGCCTGGCGGGGAAGTCTCACTGCTCCGTGGATCCCTCGGAAGCTTTGCGTGTCCCCTTCTGGGCCTTGGTGGGTGGGTGAGTCTTGGAGGAGCTCGTGCAACCCGTGCACACAAACAGCATCTCTAGTCACGCGCAGAAAACCTCTTTCTCTTTAACCCAGTCCTCTCTCTGGTCTGTTTCTCAGGTGTTCTCGAAAATATTCAGCCATGAAGCCTTGGAAAGTTACCTCCCAAAGATTCAGCTGGTGATCCAAGACACCTTGCGAGTCTGGGGCAGGAACCCCGACCCCATCAACGTCTATCATGAAGCCCAGAAGCTCACTTTCCACATGGCTATCCGCGTCCTCCTGGGATTCCGAATCCCAGACGAGGAGCTCACCCGGCTGTTTGAAGTCTACCAGCAGTTTGTGGAGAACGTCTTCTCCTTGCCTGTGGACCTGCCCTTCAGTGGCTACCGCCGGGTAAGGAGTGCCTCCGTCACGGGAGGGCAGAACCCCAGATGCACCGCCTGTGCTGGCTGTTGCTAAAAGAAGGGGACGGCGAGGCCTCTCTCTGCCGCCGCCACTGCTCAGCGTGGGCGTCCCACGGCGGGGGGGGAGGCAGCTTCCTTTGGGCACTTCCTGGTGGATCCTGGCGGGGGGAATCAGGCGGGGCCTTTCGATTCCTGCAGTCCAGGTGATTTAGGGGGTTCCACACACAACAGATTTATGGCTCCCCAGAGCCCTGCAGATGTGGCTGGGGATTCTGGGACATTCAGTTTCAAAACCGCTGGAGGGTATGGGTTGGGGCGGGGTGTTCTCCAAGAAGGGGGCTGCCTGGAAACGATGTGGTCCTTCCCCCCCTTTTGTAGGGGATCCGTGCTAGGGAGATTTTGCAGAAGGGCTTAGAAAAAGCCATCCGGGAAAAGCTGCAGAGCCCCCAGGGCAAGGACTATCTGGACGCGCTGGACATCCTGATAGAAAGTGGCAAGGAGCACGGCAAGGAGCTGACCATGCAGGAGCTGAAGGTACGGCCCCAGCTGAGGCCCCTGGCAGACGCTGCTCCCTCTGCTGCCACCGGGAGCGCTTGACGCCCCCTTTCCGCTCAGCACGGCCGGGGATGAGGCTGGCTCTGGCTGCAGGTTGGGAGGGAAGGAAATGCATGGGGCGGGGGGTTTGGGGCAGTTGGGCCTCGGCCGAAATGAAACCGAATGCACGTCAGCATAACCTCCACAGGGGCCTTGAGGAAAGCTCAAACCAGTTTAGCTCAAGTTGCCAGGCCAGGAGCTTTAGAGGAGAGAAAAGATGATTCCCGTCCTCGAATGGCGTCTGATAAACCTGCCCCTGTGGACCAGGCAGGGCACTGAGCCTCGCTCTCCCCGGGGCCAGCTAGTCTGCCCCGGCTCACGCAGCCTCTCTCTGGCTCCTAGGACGGCACCCTTGAGCTGATCTTCGCTGCCTACGCCACCACAGCAAGCGCCAGCACCTCTCTGGTCATGCAGCTCCTGCGGCATCCGGCGGTCCTGGAGAAGCTCCGCGAAGAGCTGAGGAGCAAGGGGATCCTGCACAACGGCTGCCTCTGCGAGGGGGCTCTTCGGCTGGAGACCATTGGCAGTCTCCACTACCTGGACTGTGTCATCAAGGAGGTGCTCCGGCTCTTCACCCCCATTTCAGGGGGCTACCGGACGGTGCTGCAGACCTTTGAGCTGGATGTGAGTACCAGGACCTTGCCTGGAGCCCCCCCCTCGGAGGAAGGAAGCTTCTGGCTGCATGTGAACTGGGGGAGAGCTCTCCCAGTGCAGAGGGGGCAGCATGTGACCCCCAGCACCTGGAGTTGCGATGCTGAAATTTGGTGGCAAAATGGTCAGATTTGTGCGAAATGGTTTTTTCAGGGCGGGAACGGGAGCAGGCGGTCTCTGGGAGGCAAACAGTAGGATGTTAGTCCCAAGCCAACAATTTTGTACCATTTCTGAGGGTCTAGGGGAGTTTGGGGGGATGGAAGGGGTTTGTCTCTGGCCCACCATCAACCCCCCCAAACAGGAAACAGGTTGAAAAGTTTGAGACCTTTGACAACCCTGGGCAGCTCCAGAGGGCTCCAGAGGATCCGAAGGCTGAGCTGCTGTGCCTGGCCTCTCCCAGAGCGCTGGTGGTGGGCTGTGCCGTTTGGGCCAGATTACATCTTGCTCTTATGTCTAGTAACGTCCGTTTCTGGGGCTTGTTAATCATTTTCCATTAAAGATGCTCCTATATGCAAAAATGAAAATGATTCAATGAATGGTGCTTGTAAATGATATTTTAAATACCGTCTGTAAATGTACAGAACGCGGAGTTTCTTACGAGCGCTCTTCATTGTGGAAACAGCCCTTCTCGTGTCAGGATCAAGGGCTGCTGTCTCTCCATTGGACCTCCCCCCGTCAAAAAAACCTTAGAGGTGGGCTTAGAAGGACCCCTTCCTGAAAGCCTGAGTTCTCTGAGGCATCAGGATTTGGGGGCTGCAGATGCATTATTGTGGAAGCCAAAAATCTAAATTTGGATAAGAGAAGTGAGGGTTAGATCCAGATGTTTGGATGACATGTGGCTGACTCACGGAGAGCAGATGGAATTTTCAACTAGCAAAACAAATCTCGTGGCTTGGCTGTTCCAGTCTGTAGACTTACTCAAGGATCAAGGGCTGGGTTCATACCCTTCTGAATGGGACCAGCAGATGGGAGATACTCTGGGGCAGGCTTCTCCTTTCCTCACATCCAAGGAGATCCTCTTTCGATGATACTTGTTTAGCAATCACAGAAGGAGCTGTTTACTCACACACTTGCCTTTAGGTGGTCAAGTTCCCATCTGCTCTCCTTTCCTTTCC